GTAGCCCAGATGTTCAAGCAGGCCACCATAACGTCAAGTTTTAATAATGTGATATTAGCATACAAATATTACGTTTTCAATACTTATTATCAAAATATATTAAAACTTACCAGAATAAATCTGTAAGCAATAAAATAATACTACTACTATAACGTAAACTTTCATGTTTTAAGTAAAGATAAGTAATAATGTTTTTTCTACTCTCTTTATATAGTATCTGTTTCGTACAATTTAATTTCAAAAGCTTCTAAACAACAGTTCATGTTTTTACATCAAGTGGTTACATCAAATTTTACGTTTACAATTACAAATGAAAAAGTTCCGTATATAATATTTCTCAACTCTATTACTTATTCGTCATTACAAAAACAAACTCTCGCTCTCTCCACAAATTCTCATCGCAAATAATATGTTACCTTAAAACTTTCTTCTCAAGATATATTTTTATAAGTGCTTTTATTAATAAATATATGTATAATGAGAAAATCTCTAAAATTGTACATAAGTTATTCATCAAGGCAGTGTAGATTAGAAAAACATACAAATCATCCTGACATAAAATTATACACAAGCATGTTAATATTCTCACCTTTAAAAAGAATATTGTCCTGAAAATTTCCAGATTAATTTATCTGAATGGATTTCTGTAAACTGAAATTATAATCTTTATTATTTACAGAAGACTGCATAATAATGTTTGTGTTATAGTGGTGTTAGCAATGTAGTTCTTACTAAACCTGAACTACAAAATAAGTGAGTTTAATATATTGTTCAGTTGTTATCTAAAATTCTCGAATAATAACTTCAAAACCATAGATAACAATACACAATGACAAAGGTTTCTTCCCTTTTGTCTAGCAAAGCATTCGCAAATGCCATAGAGAACAACAGGCTTCCTTAGCTAGGACTTTAAAATCTCGCGCCATTAACGTGTACTGCGTCTCCGAAACGCGCATACAAGATCCAAGTAGCGTCATACATTTGACCTCTCCAAATCAAAATAAAGAACCATCTCGATTCACGCTTCGCCTATCTGGAAGCCCTGGTGCTGCTTCCCGTGGCCTCGCTGTAGGTGTAGATATAGCATTGAGTCCTATGGCAGAACTAGCCCTCTTAGACTGGATTCCAGTAGACTCGGAAAGATAGAAACACTCGTCGTTGCCCCTTCGTCGTCTCTGCCTACTCTCCCATTGGCTGCAGCTCAGATGATAAAAAAGATGAGTTTTGTAGGAAGATTTACGACCTTCTCCAAAATGTTAGGCGCTCTGACATAGTAACAGCGGATGGTGACTTTAATGTTCAAGTAGGTAAACTAAGAGAGAAGGAAAGATACCTTGGTGGGGATTTAATGGTGTTGTGGCTCAAAGAACAGATAATGGCGACCGTCTGTTGCAGCTATGCTCAGATAACCGCCTCTTTCTTGCAAATACTAACTTTAAGCATAAGCAAAAGATCATTTTACATGGCAATCCTTGAATACGTCCTAACATTGGACCCAAATAGATCAGATGGCTATCAGCCACCGATGGAGGGGCTCGATAGAAGACTGCCACTCATTCTGGAGCACATGCTTAGATTCAAATCACGCTCTAGTGAGAGCACGTATTTGTCTATATCTTCCTGGACGTAGGAAAGACGCTGCAAGGAAACCCCTCAGGGTCCTACTTAATGATAACCAAGCTAAGAATATATTTCAGGAACAACTAGAAAAACAGTTAGTCAGCCGTGTGAGTGATGCCCACCCCGAGGAAGCTGTGGAAACAACATTGATGTCTGCAAGTAAGGTGAACCATAAGGTTAGGGAGAAACACTGGATCTCAGCAGCATCTATCGCACTGATAGATGCTTGGAAACTCATTCCACCTGGCTCTGAACATAATGAAGAGCGGAGTCAGCTTAAGCGCAAGCTGACAAGAAGTCTACGCAATGATCGTGAACAGTGGTGGGTAGCGAAAGCAAGAGAGGTGGAAAAGGCAGCGGCAATAGGTAATAGCAGACAATTGTTCAGACTTGTTAAGGAAACCGGTATTAGGAACCCAGCTGTTAGCGAAACAATCTCAGAGAAGGATAGACATATTATTTATTCTCAATCCAGGAGATTAAATCGATGGGCAGAACACTTTAGGAATCAGTTCGACTGGTCTTCAACCACACTTCGGTTTCCCACGATCTCCAGTCCACCTGAATGCCAGGTTGATGTAAGTCCTCCAACTGTTTACGAAGTTGAAAAAGCTGTGGGAAATCTGAAGCGAGGGAGAGCAGTAGGCCCTGACAGGTTTACTCCTGAGATTTTTAAGGATGGTGGTCCAGTATTAGCAGTGAGATTGACTGAGGTCTTAGGTAGAATTTAGGAACTGGACGTAATCTCATCTGACTGGTCTCAATCACTGATTGTGCCAGTCTATAAGAAAGGACAAAAGTCCTCTTGTGACAATCACAGAGGAATCAGTTTGACTAATATAATGTCTAAAATATTAGCTTCAATAATACTTCGACGCCTAACTAGAGCTCGTGAAGAGCAGACTAGAGAAAACCAGGCTGGTTTTCGACCTGGACGTAGTTGTATAGACCAGATATTCACACTATGTCAGTTCCTAGAACATAGACACACATTCAGATGGCCCACAATCGTAGTATTTCTCGACCTGAAGGCGGCATTTGACTCTTTTGATTGTGAGGTTCTCTGATAGTGTTTGTCACTGAAAGGAGTATAAAAGAAGTATATTAGCCTTGTAAAAGCTATCTACTCGAACACAACTGGTCGAGTGAGAGCTAATGGCGAACTGTCATCAGAATTGATTACCTCAAGTGGCGTTCGTCAGGGCTGTCCACTCTCTCCATTCTTGTTTAACTTTGTCGTTGACGTGCTTTTAGAGATAACACTTTCCACATCTGACTTTCCAGGGGTTGAACATTTTCCCGGAGACTCACTTGTTGACCTATAGTATCCCGATGACATAGTTCTATTTGGTGAAGACGCCGACAAAATGCAGAGTCTTCTGACCACTATAAACAACAATGCAGGCATGTTCGGCATGCGATTCTCCCCCTCGAAATGTAAAATGTTGCTTCAGGATTGGGTTGCACCGACAACCGAAATAATGATAGGGGGTGAAGTAGTTGAGAATGTCGACCGCTTCAATTATCTTGGGAGTCTTATCAACCCATGTGGTAAGGTGTGTGACGAAATCTCAGCACGGATAATAAAGGATCGACTAGTTTTTACCAACTTGCGTCACTTTTGGCGTAGGCGAGATATCCGTCTATCAACCAAAGGACGGGTTTACTGCGCAGCAGTTCGTTCCGTCCTACTTTATGGCAGTGAAACGTGACCGGTAAGAGTAGAGGATATTCGTGGGTTACTAGTATTTGATCATAGGTGCCTTCGAAATATTGCTCGTATATCCTGGGACCATCGAGTAAGTAACACAGTTGTTAGGAAACGGGTATTAGGTAAGGATGGCAAATCTATTTATGCACTAGTGAAACCTCATCAGTTGAGATGACTAGGACACTTATTACGTATGCCCAACCACCAACTGACCCGACGTGCGATGTTTTATGATGTAGGAGTAGGTTGGAAGAAAGCTAGGGGCGACCAGACCAAAACACGGCACAAATCCATGAAGTCACCGACACGTGGACTCAGTCATGCTGGTAGATGTAGACTACCTGGTTGAGATTCGCGAGACGATAGCAACCGATGATTAGAGACCTAGAATGACATGGTTCAAAATCGTTTGCAATGGTGTGAGCAGGTGCATCCACTCTTTGAGTTCTCCCAAATTCTGATCTTCTGAATTCGTCATGTCCGTTTTTTTCTCCTTCAAAATTAATTTCATTGGATTATATTCCCTGAATAACATCTTCAAACACTAATCTTTCCGATTACTGATTACACTTTTACTACCTCTACCACTATGGGATTTGAATCGACAATTGTATCTGTGTGATAATGTGGTATGGTAAATTGAGCTGACGTACGTACGAAGTCCTACGTTTTGACTGACTGTATATCTTAGTCTGGCAGGAAGTCAGTTTCTGCCTAAACAGATCGGTCATCGCATCTCAGACTGTGAAGCTAGTTGATGAGGGTTCGAACATATCAGAGAACATTAGTTCCCTCATGATTATATGTACACATTTTTGTGGACGCTACTCACAAAAATTCTTGTGAGTAGTATGTGACGATACGTGGCCTTGAAACTGTCACAGTCGTCAGACGGAGTAGAGTTTCAGTACATAAAACACACGATTTAGGCAGAACACTTGATGACCATACGAGATGACAGTTTGAATTGCATAACACACCGCGAGATGCAAGTGTTTGGTCAAAGACTATGTATACGTGTTAGGTAAACTTTGTGATTTCCCTGTAAAAGCAGACCTTTGTCGCACTAGTTCGGTTTACCCTTTGACAAAGATGCTCCAGCAGAACAAAAATCAGGTCCAAAGTTTCCTTTTGAATACGTCCAACCAATACAGAATATACGTATCTTGTTAGATCATGACAAATTAATCAATTAATTTCGCAAAGCCTTTCGGGTCCCACGTATCAAATTTACAATATATTTGAACATTTTATGAATATATCAAATGAGCTAATGTCTCATCGTTCATTTTAGTCAATATTATGAATCTTTTCGTTAAGGAATATAAGTTTGTTAGATACGAATTTACACTAGATGCGATAGAATTCAACAACGCTGGTTTCAAAGTATAATATAACAAACATGGGAAAACGCGAGAATAGTGGGGAATGATAGAGTAATTGGCTTTCTCGTTCCTACCTATCTAGAGGAGACGATTTCCACGTCAGATTTTCCAGCAATTCGGTGATGGTTAATCGACCATCCTCAGCTAACAGCATTTACTAAATACAACATGGTTAGTATCAATGCCTAACGTCTACCAAAGTCCCTATTTTGGGAAGTCATTTACCACCACAGCTCACTGCCCCCTAGTGAAACTGTGAGAAAATTTTGACATCACCAGACAGAAGCTTAAACCCAACGACCTAGCCATCATTAGACACTCCTGAGAGCAGCACATAGTTATCTACTCTTAAACCAATAAATCGTATGATGAACAAGAAAAGCTGTTGGGATAAAAACATTACATAGTTCCTTCGTTTTCTGCTTCAGTCTCTGTCTCTTCCAGTGAGTGAGTGTTGGGACAAATTGTGTTAAAACTCTTAATAGACTATTGAACCATGTTCCAGCCATAAAGTACATAAATCGATACAATAAACTAAAGGAAATGTTAAAGAAAAGCAAAAGGAAAACACATTTGTTTATTTTTTAAAGCAGGTATTATATGAATATATAACTTAAATATAGTTTGGACTGCTATACATTTCTATGGCTATCAAAACTCTAACGTACAACTGAGAACTTTATCAATACATATTATCTAAATTGAATTACCTTAAAACTCCATCTAACTTAAGTATAGTCAAATCTGAAATTGATATCGAAGTGGATGGTGGCCGCTCATGATAAACACACCGTTAAAGTATAATCCCGCTGAAATTAGGCAACTCTGAAAACTGACTCTTAACCAATGAGGACACAAGTCGTCAGAATCAAGAATCCACAGTGGCAAGTAACTTTACAAAATAAACAGCGTTGTCAACATTCGACATTAACTCTGACCTTTTATTTTTAACTGAAACAAGTAGCTAGAGGAACCCAGCCAAATATTGTGGCTAAGACCCGTCTTAACTTCTAGATAGTCACTTCCAAAGTCTCATGTTCCTTAATCCATCCTCACGTCCACATATATTTCGCTCCACTACTATCGTCTATTTCTACAACTGTCTTCGGGATATCATTCTTCAAATATTTGGATGTCTGTAATTCAATAAGTCAATAATAACACCACTTAACTGAGTTTATTTCAAACAAAGGGAAAGCAAAGAAACTCCTCACTAGAAGGAGCAATCGTTCCGTGTAATCTAAGTTTAATGTCATATCATTTTAGTGCACAGTGCTGAGGAGACCTTTTTATTCAGTTCAAAGTTATTTGAATTGTAAATAAAATAATTTTCTACTGTCCTACAATCATATCTAACATTGTCATTTGAACTAAGCACGAAAAACTAATAGTTACTATATTTATTCTGATTGACCCGGTAATATAATATAGTCTAACCAGCAAAGGTTCATAGTCCCATGATCAAAATCTAGAACAGAACAGTTAAATACAAAGGAAATTCAATATTACTATTCGAATTCTCAATTTAATTAGTACATTCTTTCTGGTTTATTCATACAGTACAAAACTACCTTAAATTCAATTGATCTATTGTAATTACTACACAACTCATTGTTATAAATTCGTACGTATGTAGGTGGGTAAGTGGAAATAATTTTGAAGAACAGAAAACCACAATACAATTTTCTTTTTAATAAGCATAAATATTCAGACTGAAATCATAATATATAATTAAATTAAAGATAAAATCTACCAAAAAGGAAGGCACAAAGGTAAAAATAAATGCAAAAATCCAATTACAATGTAATTGACAAATTAGTTCAATAATATTTAGTGATAACATTAAATTTTCCTTATATACTTAGGATAAATTTAAAAATTATCCCATTCATGTAAATATCATTCTATTAGTGTCTGTGTTAAAAAAAATTCAAAGATGGTTCATGAAAGACTAGGGATAAGCAAAACACGAAGGTACAAGTAAAGGGATGCAAACGAAAAAAAATGGAGAAATTCAAATAATCTAGAAATGGTGAGTAGGATAGGGGAAATCATTGTTTAACAAAAGGAAAAACAACTCATTAATAGATATTAAGTAAATAAATAACTTATAACAAATAATTACTAAGTTGATTATGAAATTCTGAATTTGTTAAAAAATGCCATCGACGTTGACCTAATGCAGTACAAATGCAACACTCTGCTATTCTTAATCTAGACGATATCGATTCAGTCATCATTGTACTATACCATGTAGATATTGTAGCTGGAACAGTTAATGGACAAACACCATCTAACTGACAACATTCTTTTTGGATAACTAATTGTAATGGACTATATTTACATTCATTCATAGAATTACAACATTGATTTCTTTGACGACATATTACCAATAAGGTTAAAATATGCACATAAGCACTTGAACCACCAAGAGCTAGTAGATTAAGATGTGGACAGGCTTTAATCAAATCTTGTAGAACATGATCTAATCCATATGAATGATTATCTTTACATGATTCATTCAATTGTTTAACTGAATCAGATATATTCAATTCAGAAGGTATATTCTGAACAGTGAAAAGAAACACAGAATTATCAAACAAATTATTTTTGATAATTATCAATAAAATTCTGTAGTTTTACAATTAATTTCTATAAATAATACCACAATAGGTTACTATACTACTATCTATTTTCAGAGGACATATCTACGGACTAATCAATTTAAAGTGAGTATACACATCTTAACGCATATGATGTTTAGCTAAACAACTAAAACTGTTACCACTTTTAGAAAACTTTTGATCAACATTAAAAATACGATTAAATCTATAAAGAAAAATTTATACAACAAAACGTGAGATAGCTACCTTAGAAGCATGAAAGTGGAATCAATGTAAACAATTCGAAGTAATCCAGTAGTCATAAGCAGAATTTTAAAAGTTCATTCAATTCAAAATAAACCAAGAACAACGATTGTAGTAGAAAAATATGAATTTGCTTGACTATCTGGACTATCTATTCCTGTCATCTAAATATTTCAACAAGTTGTTTGTTTTTATTTGTTTTAACAACTCACTATATCTATTAATCGCACAACCTATTCAGGCACGTTTATGAGAAGTTTACGAACTTTAGCTGTACAAGTTACAAAAAAGTACAATCAGAGACATTGTCATGGCTGATAATATGCATTGAAAAGAATGAACATTATTCAGATGCCCATTCCTAAACTGATAACATCTAACTGGCGATTACTCAACATTTAACGTCATGATCGATCAAAAAGTAAGAAAAGGACAATTATTGTATGTATTTTTCGAGCACATTCTACAAAAATTGACACTGTAGTCGATGCTATAAAACAATTAGATCCTGTAATATTTTCTTGATAGTCGGTATGACGATGACATTGCAAAACCACCTAAAGTGATCAATAAGAAAATGACTTCAAACGTATTGTACTATACTAAAATCATAGCTATCAAAAAACTCAAACTGAACTTATGAATTAAAAAAGGATAATGTTATCAGTGTTGTATTTAATATCTAGTATCCTCAATTTCTAACACTTATTTTAGTAATATCATATTTTGCATGTGCAACTAGAAATTCCTCTTCTACATTCTTTTTACTGTATATCTATCTTAATCAATCTTTTTTGTTAATGTGCAACTTCTAAAATATTCGCATTATTTGACAATTATATGAGCATCTCATACAACTCATTTTTCTTAATAAATTTCGTTGATTATAACAAATATAGTATGTACGTTGTTTTGTTTGTCACTGCCCGCAAATGCCCTTGTACGGTCGAGAGTGGGTAGAGTCCGCTCTCCCTCTCGAAATGCTCTCACATGGTCACGCGTTTATAGCCTCTGTCAGGGAAGTCCTACTCATTGCCTTCTCGTGGCGCAGGTGTTGTTTACAAAACTGAGAGGACGAAAGGCGAATGTCCGGCGCTCTAATCGAGTTGGTGGATATGGAGAGTTCATCTAGGGGAGTTGGAAAACCCTGATTCCAAACCAACGGTGCACATGGGCTCCGGGATCCTAAAGGAGCAAATGGCGTATGAACCAATTGTTGGTCACTAGAAACCATGAGAATGCATTTCCTGACGTTGTTCCACTGCCTTGTGGATCAGACCTTTAGGTCGAAGGCTCCTGGTGTGGTCCCCTAAGAAAGCCATCTGCTTCGGTTTGGGTACCCGGGTAGCATCGTAGCCCTCGCACAAATCAAATGAGATTTGTGTGGCGCATATCTATTTGATGCCTCCTTGTACCAATGTTTATGTGTTTAAATAAATAAATTGTTTTTTAATGATTCATACTACTATTTCTAAGTTGTCAACAGTTGAACAGAATTAATGAAATAAATGAATTCATATTACTCTCACTAAACATTTTTGCAGTAAAAGTATGGTATAGGGAGGAGCTTAAGACAATTGTGAAGAATTTACGGATTGTATCCAGACAATTAGAAAAAGGGATTTTATAAATGGATAGTTTATGGAAAAGAAAACAGTACTATTCTGAATGTAAACAAATTTTATATGGTAAATTTATTAATTTCTTCCACAAGTAACTACTCTGACTGTAAACTGAGATAGAAACTAGTTATAATGAATATAAATTGTACATATTCTCGAACCCTTACAAGGGTCCAAACAAAGTTTTGGATTTTAATATTGTTCATAGTTAGGGTTAGAAGTAGGGATTTATGGTTACAGTTTTCATTCCAAACGGACGTCAGCTATGATGTACAAATACTCCGAATCCATGTAGATGGATAAATTTCACTCAAAAACATAATATACGCTATCTGATTGATTATTGTACCCATAAAGTGTAGTGCCACCAAGTTAAGGTTTGTTTCAGGCTTAAAGGTTTAAGACACAGGGATATTTTCAATTTCCCTGATATATATAATCTAAGAATTAAGCATTTAATAGGTTTGACATTATCATTTTTATTTTATGGTTCCAAAAAATAATTTTTCACTATCATTTTAAACGTTGTGAGTAGTATACAGGAATATTTCTACTGCATGTTATACATAATATTTGAATTTCACTTAAATCCCTTATAGTCGCGTTTTTTTATTCTGAGGATAATATGGCACAAAAACTTTCAGGAACATTATCGTGTGTATTTGAATCGTTAGTGTAATATTTACCAGAAAGTTGACTATTAAATACCTCTTAATCTTTACTGCATTTCACAAAATGAAATACAATAGGTTGGAAACACTTTTGCTATCAGAATCTTACTATGATTTATTCATAGAAGTATATCTAGTTTACTATGAACATGATCTAAATTAATTTTCTTGATAAAGTTGATCCGATTTATCCTGAACATGACAACTTGCTTTCGACTTCTTATCAATACCATTTCATTTGACGTAAATTACTCTCACCAAATAAAATTCAATGTTATTAATAGTACTGACTCACATCGTTTGCTTGACTTCAAGTGACACTATCGATCTATTCAAAGAGGTAGATGTTGTGGGGTAATAAAATATAATCTAGTGACCAAAAGCCACATTTTAATTAACAAGCCATTATTTCACCCATACTATTATTTAGTCAAAATATAAAAATACGAATAATGAGTGTTCGGATAAATCATTAAAGAATAAAAATTGCATACTTCCAATAATATTATCAATGATGTAAGTGATTGTGAATAAGATATAGGATTGATTGTATTTTGTGGACTTAATAAACCAGCCATAAATGCAGGTTCTCCAGTTAGAATCAATGTGATTGAAGTGACCGGTGCAGGAGGAACAGGCCAATAAGACAGTAAATTATGAATTGAATTGAATTTATCAGATGATGAAGGACTTTTCCACCGTAAACAAGTTAAATCTTCAACTAACTCCAACTTTAAATGAATGGTAAGATGTGGACATAGAATAAGAGCAGCACGCCACACGTTTGAAGGTATCGGTTTCCAACCAGATGTTGTATCTTGATTAGTTCCATATCTACGAATACGTGGAACATCTTCAGTCCAATCAATCAAATCCAGCATACTTGAATCACTAGGATCAAAACTTTGATCTTCATTAAATCCCATATATAAATCATCAGAATCATATGAAATAGTTCGTTGAACAGGAGGATTTTCAGAACGAGGTATGGTAAATACAGTCAAATCAGTCTTTAAAAAATGAAATAAAATGAAAAACTGCTGTTAATTGTCTTTTAAGCAGCACTCAGTAAGTTGGCATTAAAAATAGTCTAAAATAATGGTCAATGAAGTCATTAAGAAACTTATTCCAAACATTAATTTAATTAACAAATAGAAGACTTACAAGAGATTAAAAGTAATGACACAAGAAACGAATCACAGTTATTATAGAATCCCATAAATGTTTACGTAAAGATCAAATTATAAAACAATTTTTATTCATTACTAACTTTCAAAAGCTAAATATTAGCGTTAACATACGTCAATTTATTTGACTATACGTCACAATGCTAAGTAGACGTTCGTAGAAATACTGACTGTCTTTATTCGAATATTTTTAAAGCCGAAAACGATATTAGCTTCGTTAACAACACTGAAAAGAAAAATAGTCAATTTGAATCAGCCAATTAGTTGAACGACTGTACCACCATTCATTAAAGTGCACAAGTATTGTCATTACGAGAACATTCTTAGATCATAGTACTATCTTTTTTCCCTTACCGTAAAATCTTATATTTAGTCATCACTGATTTACACAAATACGTGAGAAATCCAGTCAGAAAGAGACATTTGATATGAATTTAACGATATCCTTTCTTAACTATGATCCTCCTCTGACTGATACTTCAATCTAATACCTACTACATTATAGATACCTTAAATATATCGAAAGTCATAGGGATTCGAGTTTAAAGACCTAGGCTTTGTGTTCAGCAAACATTTTTAACATTTCTGTCCTATCCTTCACCAGAAAACATTCAACGGACGATGTTACTGATCTTTTTATACCTTAATTTTTCATTTAACTTCACTAGGTGCATTATTAAACTGACTATTCACATATTTAAATAAAATGTGAATGACAATATTTACAAAATAAAATGAAGTCATGATATTTCGAGTCTTCACATTAGTTGCCTAAATGGGCTAAACTTATAATTAAGTATAATATTATAAATCAAGTATAGTCAATGAAGTCAACTTCGGAATAACACAGAAAAACATTAGAAACAAGAAAAACAAAACATTTAACATAGTTCTTACAACTATGTTGTATTTATATATTAAAAACGAAGTCATATAAATCAGTATGTGGTGTTATAAATAATAATTAATAGACAATTTAAGATTTTTTGACAAATAAGTGGCTATATAATCAACCCACCTAGTTTGTATAAAATTAAAATTAACGATATGTGTCAGAGGAATATAAAATTAAGGGATTACGTAACAGATAGTTTATGGCAGTGAAACATGGCCGGTAAGAGTAGAGCATATTCGTGGGTTACTAGTATTTGATTATAGGCGCCTTCGAAATATTGCTCGTATATCCTGGGACCATCGAGTAAGTAACACAGTTGTTAGGAAACGGGTATTAGGTAAGGATGGCAAATCTATTTATGCACTAGTGAAACCTCATCAGTTGAGATGACTAGGACACTTATTACGTATGCCCAACCACCAACTGACCCGACGTGCGATGTTTTATGATGTAGGAGTAGGTTGGAAGAAAGCTAGGGGCGACCAGACCAAAACACGGCACAAATCCATGAAGTCACCGACACGTGGACTCAGTCATGCTGGTAGATGTAGACTACCTGGTTGAGATTCGCGAGACGATAGCAACCGATGATTAGAGACCTAGAATGACATGGTTCAAAATCGTTTGCAATGGTGTGAGCAGGTGCATCCACTCTTTGAGTTCTCCCAAATTCTGATCTTCTGAATTCGTCATGTCCGTTTTTTTCTCCTTCAAAATTAATTTCACTGGATTATATTCCCTGAATAACATCTTCAAACACTAATCTTTCCGATTACTGATTACACTTTTACTACCTCTACCACTATAGGATTTGAATCGACAATTGTATCTGTGTGATAATGTGGTATGGTAAATTGAGCTGACGTACGTACGTACGTACGAACGAAGTTCTACGTTGCTACTGACTGAATGACTGACGTAAAAGATAGACATTATATCGCCATAATTATTTTACCATGGTTATAAGAAGTTTACCACACTTTTTCTAAAACCAAAGTTCAGGTTGTGATTGCTTGATGACAATAACCTCCCCAAATAGGATTAAAAACGGTATTTCTTGTTTGTCAATTAATTTAAATGCCATGGTGATATCCACGTTATGTTCATTCAGTCAGTCAGCTACAACGTAGGACCAGACACATATATGCATCGGTCCAAGTGGTCATACCTCATTAGTACAGCAACATGAACACTGGACTCATAGAAGTAGTTAATTCAGTGGTGGTAATATAGAAAAGAAAGATTGCATATAAGGATATAGTACCGTAATAAAGAATTAGTTCGTAGAAAGAAAGGTATAAAGCGATTTCAATCTCTTAGTTTAAGGGAAGACAGGGAGTGTATACACCGACGCCATTGTGATCGATTCTGAGCCATGTCACCAAGAGTCTCCAACCATTGGTTACGATAGTCACGCGGACCCCAACCAAGTAGTCTGCATCTACCAACATGGCTCAGACTAGAAGTTAGTGACTTCAAGCACTGATGCCACGTTTTGGTTTGGCCGCCCCTAACTTTCTTCCAACCATCTCCAATACCGGATAGCATCGCACGTCGTGGTAATCGGTGTTCAGGCATACGTAATACGTGGCCCAACCATCTCAGCCGATGAAGATTCATAACCTCATCAACTGATTTACCATCATTCCCTAATACCCTGCGTCTAACCTCACTATTACTTACCCGGTGATCCCAGCAGATGCCAGCAATATTTCTAAGGCATCTGTGGTCAAATACTAGTAGCTTACGGGTGTCTTCTACTCTTAAGGGCCATGTCTCGCTGCCGTAAATTAAAACAGAACGAACTGCCGCGCAGTATACTCGTCCTTTTATTGATAGACGGATATCTCGCCTCCGCCAAAGGTGACGTAAGTTGGCAAAAGCCAAACGAGCTTTTCGAATCCGTGCTGAGATTTCGTCAGACACCAACCCATTAGGGCTGATCAGACTTCCAAGATAAGTGAAGTTGTCGATGCGTTCGACTACTTCACTCCCTATCCTTAGTTCAGGTGTTAACGCAGACCAGTCCTGAAGCAACAACTTGCATTTCGAGGGAGAGAAGCGCATTCCAAACATCCTGGCATTGTTGCTTATTGCTGCCAGAAGACTGCATTTTGTCAGCGTCTTCACCAAACAGGACTATGTCATCTGCGTATTCCAAGTCGATAAGTGGACCTCCTGGTAGGAGATCAATACCCGAGAACTCAGTCGACGAAAAAGTTATTTCCATCAGTAGATCTATGATGAAGTTAAACAAAAATGGACAAAGTGGGCAGCCTTGACGGACACCACTTGAGGTTGCAAAAGTAGATGACAGTTCGCCATAAGCCCTGACTCGACTAGTAGTGTTCGAGTAAAGAGCCTTCACAAGGTTTATGTACTTCTGGGGTACGCCTTTCAATGACAGACACTGCCACAGAATCTCGCGGTCTACAGAGTCAAATGCTATGTTATGTTATGTTCATTATCCATTAAGCATTAGGAAATTTTAAACATTTTGCTTTCTTTCAAATACAGCGTTCGCGGATATATTCAGAAATTCTGGTGGACGCCCTTCTTTTATTCCTTCCTAATTATTTGCCACTGTAAGTGCATGTAAATTCACAAACAAATTTGGAAGTAACCTCAGAAGGATATTGATCTGTGTTGTGGATGCGGAGGAACAGACCAATAATTATCATGTTAAGTCCAATGGTGTCCTTGGACTTTAAATGGATATTTTCTATTGGTCGATATCTGTTCACTTGTTGTATATTGTACAAAATGTTATTTTCTATTTTATGGTACGATGTGGTGTGCTTGATTGGTATATAAACAAAGTATGTTTGAAATATAATGATTCATATCTCCGAGGCTGTGGCTTGTGCTCTGGACTCAACTGGCTGGGCTAGACAGGGAAGTGGGACCAATCGAGACTCTAGGCCGTCCGTCCGTGTTTGCGTGTCACTGTAATCGATCGATAAGTACGCTGCTCTCTAATTTTCCAGTCAAGGACACAACGATAACACAGGGTAGAAATCGACAGCAACCTAAAGCCATAACAATCTGCTTTTGACTGATTTAATAAACATTTGGTGTTAGATACTGAAAAAATTGGGCTCCAGGGAAGCTCCCATTTAGCATTTTACCAATTTATGATTTTATGCAAAATCACATGGGGCCTTTGTAAAATATGAAAATTGCACATTAAATACATCACTTTCACACCGTCTTTCAGTTTTTCCTTATGTGCTCCATCATTCTTCCAATCCCGTTGTTATTCCGATAGCCCTGCTTTCTTTCTTCTCTTTATTACAATCTTCCGCTGGTAAGCACTCCACTTACAATTCCTGCTACATACTACTTATGTCTATCCGCATAAGTAGAGCAAACCACAATATTGGTACACTAAAAGACTTCGACTCACAAAGATAAGCGAATCAATGAGTTACATTATTGCTTCTTCCTGACAAAGACAGGTAAAGACAAGCTTTCTCGTAACAATTAGTTTTTGAACCTATCTGTAAACATTATTCTATACTTCGCACATTTCATATTAAGTAGTCTTGAATAAATATCAATTTAAAAGGTTTGTTTCACCAAGCTTCGACGATATATTTGTTCGTGCTATCATGTTGTTTATTATTCTGATATTTACTACTATGCCTGTCACCTTACAAATTGTACTTTTTACTTATATATAATTAGTTGTGTAATCCTTCTTTATTATTAGCACTGAATCACACATTACCTTAATTAGTTTCAATTTTTCTATACACCGATATAAATATTGATGTGAAAAATGAAACCTGATGAATATCAAACTGAAAGCAATAATGTTCGATTAATACCTATTGTTTTACATTAGGTGGTTGGAGGTAGTTGACAGGAAATCCTGGACCCAAATTTCGTACCATTTGGCATTTGTCGGCAAGTCTACCTGTGATCTTGAAAGAATCGCTTCTACTGACGTATTGGATCCCGCAACACCCAGCCTCACAATCTAAGACGATACTGCGCAGCTATTCGGGTCACGACCGAGATGAGTCGCTTAGACTAATGACTACATCCCAACTTGGTCGATAGAATCCAATCACAATTAGAAGACTAAACAAGTATGACACTGATCACTACTTAATAATCAGTCAACTGTAAATATGTTGCTTTACTCTCCATTGTCTGAATTTTTAACATTCTAAGAAGAATTACCGAAATTAACACAACAGAAAACACCTCAAATATAACAAGTAAACTAAAAATAGTTGACAATTGATCCCAAATAAAATAAAAGCATTATGAACTAATGGTAACGAACTTGAATTAAAGATAATTGATGCAACGAAGTTTGATATAAAAGTCGAAGAAGCATTGAACCGGTTAACTGAGTTGGACTCAAAGTAAGACGTATAATTTTAGGGAAAAGACTAGACAAATCACACAAAGGATTATCGCTGGTCCGTTGAGATCGAGCACTAAGCCAACGAGGATCCAAAAGGTACCAATCTTCATTGAAACATTGGTGGCTATTGTTATTTGAAACATTGTTAGTAGTTTGATGTTCATCAGAGACTAGATTTGCAAAACCTGGGATGTACTCACGATGATGTGCGGTTATTGGATTGACAGATGACTTATGGAAGTGAACAAGATTGAGATCATTTAGACAATGTGAAGCAACCTGAATAATGGAAAAAAATCATACAACCATATTTAATAAGTGATTAACCAATAAGAAATATAAACTAAACTCCAAGTTTAATACATGACGAAACTAAGGTATAAAAAACTGAATATCTTCGTATAATTGGAGATGTTACTAAATAATAGAGTTAATATGTGTTATAAATATCGAAAAAATGCAAAGACCTTGCAGTGCTTTGAAAACTTTTAACAGTGAATGAAGCTGAGGCAGAAATATCAGCATACTGTTGTGAACAAAATGAGAGTAGGGTAGATGGAATTCCCCGTGAGATAAAATAGAAACTCCACCTGTAGCTCTTCTACAGTTATTGCCGGTCCCAAGCCCGGGTAAAGGAGGAAGGTTGGACATGGAGTCAGCAACCCCATCCTGTAGAAAACTAACTCGCTAAAAAAACGCTAACCAGAAAAAATAATTCAAATCATGTAAACTCTGCCCTGAGAGCTAGAAGGTCTTCATTTGGAAGAACTATGACACCTCATGGTGAAAGCTGACTTCCTTCGGAAGCCACGATACCAATGCCCCTTTTAACAACCAGAACAACAATTTTTATAGGTACATGGAACGTCCGGACAATGTGGAAGACCGGGAAAACCAATCAAATAGCAACGGAAATGAGGAGATACAACTTGGCAGTATTGGGAATCAGCGAAACCCACTGGACTCAAGCTGGACAACAAAGGCTATATACGAGGCTATACTCCGGCCACGAAGAGGAAAATGCTCCACACACTCAGGGAGTTGCTCTAATGCTGTCCAAAGTAGCACTTGTAGGATGCGAACCTCACTGATCCAGAATCATCAAAGCATCATTCAAGACAAAGAAGGAGGGGATCACAATGAATATTATTCAATGTTATGCATCCACCAATGATAGCAACGACGACATTAAAGATCAATTCAACGAGCCGCTGCAATCAATCATAGAGAAGTGACCAAAAAAGGACCTCACCATTCTGATGGGAGATCTAAACGCCAAAGTCGGAATAGACAACACTGGATATGAAGATATCATGGGACGACATGGACTGGGACAGAGAAACGAAAATGGAGAAAGATTTGCAAATCTATGTGCATTCAACAAATTGGTCATAGGAGGAACAAGGCTACATGGATCTCACCGGACCACACCACAAAGAACCAGGTAGATCATATTTGCATCAATAAAAAGTTCCAAGGGACAATGGAAGATGTGAGAACCAAGAGAGGAGCTGACATAGCTTCAGATCACCACCTAGTTGTAGCCAATTTAAAACTGAAGCTAGAGAAGAACTGAACAACTAGACAAACAACACTACAAAGGTTCAATACAGCCTTCCTTCGAGATACTGACAAACTCAATGAATTCAAGATAGCTCTCAACAACAAGTTCCAAGCATTATAGGACCTACTGAAGGAAGAAGAAACTACTATGGAGGACAACTGGAAAGGTATCAAAGAAGCATTAACTTCAACGTGTCAAGAGGTTCTGGGGCTAAAAAAGCATCATCATAAGGAATGGATCACTATAGAAACACTGGACAGGATCCAAGAAAGGAAGAAAAGAAGACAGCAATTAACAATAATCGAACAAGAGCTGAGAAAATCAAGGCATAAGCTGAATACACAGAAGCAAACAAGCGAGTGAAGAGCAGAATCAGAGTCGACGAGCACAAATAGCTGGAAGAACTAGCAACGACACCAGAAAGAGCTGCAAGAAAAAGAACTTTCAAGCAACTATATGACACGACGAAGAAACGGTCAGGGAAATATTGTAGACCAGAGAGATCGGTCAAGGACAAAGAAGGCGAGCTAATCACTGAAATTCAAGGACAGAGGAACAGATGGGTAGAATACTTTGAGAATATCTTGAATAGATCAGCTTTACTAAACCCACCGGACATCAAAGCAGCACACACACACCTTTCAATAGATGTCACTCCAACAACGACGGGAGAAATCAGGATGGTCATCAGACAAATCAAGAGCGGTAAAGCAGCTGAACCTGACAATATACCAACTGAAGCACTGAAATCAGCATTATAGTAACTACAAAGATGCTCCACGTTCTACTCAGGAAGAATTGGGGAAAAACAAGTACCGACGAACTGGAAAGAAGGACACCTCACCAAAATTCCAAAGAAAGGAGATCTGAGCGTATGTGAAAACTAGAGACATCACACTACTATCAGTACCAGGGAAAGTCTTTAACAGAGTGTTGCTGAACCGGATGAAAGATGAAATAGACACCCAACTTCGAGATCAACAAGCTCGATTCCGTAAGGATCGGTCGTGCACAGACCAAATTGCGACAATACAGATCATCGTCGAACAATCAATTGAGTAGAACTCAACACCGTACATCAAATTCATTGATTATGAAAAAGCATTTGACAGTGTAGACAGGAGAACGTTATGGAAACTTCGTCGACACTATGGGGTTTCTGAGAAGATTGTCAGCATTATCCGGAACTCATACGACGGACTACAGTGCATAGTTGTGCTTGAAGGACAGCTGACAGATGCATTCCAAGTAAGGGCCGGAGTCAGACAAGACTGTCTACTCTCTCTCTTCCTCTTTCTTGATACGTTTTGTCGATGAAACGCTATATACGATTCCTGAGCCATCTGGTAACCCGCAGACTAGAACTACACAGCGACTTGAACACCAGAGAGAAGACACAAGTATGAGAGAAAATACTTTATCCCAAGATTCATTTTTGTACAGAAAATCAAGGGTATTTATAGATGTTGGCGTCTGTTAAATCAACATCATATTTCAGCCAATCCGTTAACGTTATATTATGCTACTGACCAATAATAGCACGCCACGCTGGAATTCTCGAACGTTCCACCGTACTCTGATTGGCTAGGATCCTTCGGCTTCTTTTTGGGCCTCTGGAGGCTTCGTTGAAGTTCTCCGGAAGCCGACTCAACATTTCTTCTGGTGGTCGACTGGATTATGAAGACCTCGACATCTGAGGGAAAACACGGCATACAATGGACAGCTCAGAATCAATTATACGATTTGGACGTCGCAGATGACCTAGCCCTCATAACGCATACACACGAACAAATGCAGACAAAGACAGCCAGTATAGCAGCAGTCTCTGCATCAGTAGGCCTCAACATACACAAGGGGAAAACCAAGGTCCTCAAATACAACACGGGGAACAGCAATCCAATCACTCTTGATGGCGAAGCTCTGGAAGATGTAGGATCCTTCACATGGATGAAAAATGCTGGTGAACGGCCTATGTTCCTTCAAGAGGAGTAACAGGCGTAAGTAAGTAGGTTGGTACTTGGAACTTTTTAGTGAGAGTTTTTTGTTACTGAAGCAGTACCAACAATGATGTAGAAGACGTTAGCAAGTTGATTACACGTGGCAAAGTTTGATTAAAATGGTACTCATAGATATATATTCGGTGTACGACATTGGATAAAGAAACAATCAAACATCGCTAATTAATTCGTACATGACAGTCTGAATATTTTGAAGAAGGACTTCAAAAGAACTCAACCTACGATAATGTGTTATCAGGTTACATCACTTGAGGATTTGCAATTTCTATCCACTTCAAATACCAAATGACGCATTTTAACACCGCTCATTCGATGAAACAACAAATTCTCTAATCATCGAAACCCTTGATATATTATTCACCATACATCGTAATGGAAAATTGAAATATCTAGTGAACGAGATGATTTTCGAAACACTAGTTCCGTCTATATGCTATAATAGTAGGATGGAAAAGCATGAAGGATGACACCCAGTTATCCAGTCTTATATTGTTTAGGTAGTGGCGAAAATTACAGGCTTGTTTGTTAAAATGCAGAGATGGTATCGAAATTCACACTAGGAACTGTGCTATATGCTTCATACCTAAATAGAGAGAAGCACTTGCAGATTTTGCGTTATTTTTGTATTTATCAAATTACAGTTCGCTATGAGAGCGCTGATCGGTAAGGTTTGATCACAAACAAGGTCATTGCAACTATCCACTAATCTACCTTTAGGATTTTTATTCGAAATGACACATAATTAAACAGAATCATTGAAACCTATTGTTGGAATGTTACAAATGTTCCCAATATTAACAGATATTTTGGTTTCCAATACAAAATACCACGAGCCCAAGAGCTTTTGACTATATGTACTGTGTTTTTATCACAGCATTCGCACGAAATTTTCTATGGTGAAACAAAACTTGTTTACACGTACAGTAACTAAATCCGAATCCTACAGACCAACAAAACAATACAATGTAATGTTTATGGCTGATAAAACGAAATTTTTTGACCAAGATATAGACCTTTTACAAATCAACTCAGAAAATTTCAATGCACGTGAAAAATAATTTAAGTTATAATTCACACTTACATCACTTATTTCACAAACTAACTGTCTGGCGTCATCGGAAACAAGAAAAAGATCCACTAGATGGAGACGATGAAGCTCACTTAACTGACGTACCACTCGGCTAATCGTTCTCAGTAATGCACCTCCAGTTCCATAAACAAGACCACGCAAATCATCGACTTCAGAATTAAAATCCAATTCAAAAGAATGAACAATAGGTGGGTGGTGAAAAGGTGAGAAATTTGACACAGATGAGGGATACTGAGAGCTTTTACTGCGTTTTAAGCTGCTACAATCATAACGATGAGATGGAGGATAACTAATGGAAGACATTCTATGCGATTGAAATTGCTCTAAATCATTGAATAAATCAGCTTGCTAATAAAAACAATGAAATTCAAGTTTAGCAAAACTTAAAAGTCATACACAACGAAATAAACTAGACCAATAATATTATATAATGCTAAATGATATGATAATATAGATATAGCTAGAAAAGGCTGCATCGTGTATTTGAATGAAACTTTCATGAAGAAGCCAAAAAATGTAACTCAATAATTTAGTTGTATCTGTTATTATTATTTTATTTGAAAACATAGATATTGGTACAAGGGGGCACCAAATACATGTGTGAGGGCTACAATGCTGCCCGGGTACCCAAACCGAAGCAGATGGCTTTCTTAGGGGACCACACCAGGAGCCTTCGACCTAAAGGTCTGATCCACAAGGCAGTGGAACAACGTCAGGAAATGCATTCTCATGGTTTCTAGTGATCAACAATTGATTCATACGCCATTTGCTCCTTTAGGATCCCGGAGCCCATGTGCACCGTTGGTTTGGAATCAGGGTTTTCCAACTCCCCTAGATGAACTCTCCATATCCACCAACTCGATTAGAGCGCCGGACATTCGCCTTTCGTCCTCTCAGTTTTGTAAACAACACCTGCGCCACGAGAAGGCAATGAGTAGGACTTCCCTGACAGAGGCTATAAACGCGTGACCATGTGAGAGCATTTCGAGAGGGAGAGCGGACTCTACCCACTCTCGACCGTACAAGGGCATTTGGTGGCAATATCTGTTGATACCGTAAATTATAAACATACATTAGATTAGTAATTAATTAATACCAACTATGTCAGTTCGATACACCTAAATTCATTTACTGACCGGATATTCAAATTGATATGTACCTTATTCCAATTTTTGATATCGTTTTGATCAGTTGTGAATCAACGTGATAGCGGGACATAGACTAGATTAAAACATGCTCAATGCACGATCGCCTTGGTGCACGCTGATTGGCTAATTCTTATCCAATCAGCGTTAGTAAACACTAGAAATCTTCTCATGTGAAAAACTATAAATATACTAACACTTTTCCTATTGTACTTACTTGCTTCTTGCTTCCATCTAACCTCGTTATTTGGAATATAATCTCTTTTCTGTTCAACCATGTTCTGATTGGTCGAATCATAGCTTACGAAAAACTGTCTTAGAGATCTGTCTCCAACCGGGAAACTCATTCATCGGTTTATAGTAAGCATATGACAACTTCCCCCGAGGATCCTTAAAAAAGGTTGAGTCGTCTGAACAACTTGAATCCAAGAATGCTTGCAATGTGTTCCTCCCCCTATAAATGGTGTATACTGGCTTACGACTTTCAAACGATCGTCTTTGGTCTAACTAAAGAAAGTGAAGGGATTATGCATATTGACCAGTCTACTAGTTTCAGAAGTCTTATCAGTCTTGGTAGGTATTCAGCTGACGAAATCTTGGCATAAATAAAGGAAACTCAGTTAGTACTTTTTAACCTGAGCCATCTAAACATGACAAATAAATAAAAGCTCCAGAGTATGCTTCCAAATAAGTAAGAGTGAGTGTTGTACACCGTAATTTAAGGTTTTGTAGGACAATGAATATGCTGATGTTAATATAACCTGGTTATTTTTTTGTACTACAATTCATTAACGTGGAAAGTTACAAATCTTCATTAAATATGATAAACAGCTTTGTAGAGTTTTGTGTAACCCCACCATTAAAACTGAAAACATTTGTTGAAATTTCTACTTTAAAGATATCCTATTAAACTGAACAATGACAATGATCAATAAAAATATTATGAAACTGGGTACTTAAAGCAGTGAAATGCTTACACTATTTTCAGAGGATAAATCAGATGAAAAGTCCTGAATTTCATGCTCTTGCAGCTCAAATATTAACCTGAGAGTAGCTTCGGCATCTGGATCACCTTCAATAATGAAACCAGCAAGTCCATAGTCTGTTTCACGCATTACATTACGGTTCAGATTTCCATATGATAAATTTTCGATTTCTTTAGGTAGGTCACTATATTCATTGCCATCTGAATCGCAGGCATTATTAGGTTCATTCTTCTGTCCATCTAATTTGAAACTGTATTCAAGAAACTTTGCAACAAGGTTTAACGTTCGATTAAGTAGGAACAAGTCATCAGTTTTCAAAAACTTGTAGTTGCGAATATGGCAACCAATCGCCTTTAAGCAACTAGAAAATAACCCAAATAAATGGAAACATTACAAACTATCTGAAGATAATCCGTAGCTATAAGGAACTTATTTTTAATTCCGGAGTTGGAGATAATTTACTTTTCAAAAGAGAATAATAAAATCACACAAGATTGACTAATCATTGCTAACTCCTAGTCTGAGCCATTTTGGTAGATGCAAATGACTTGGTTGGGGTCCACGCGACCATCGCAACCAATGGTTGGAGACTCTGGGCGATATGGCTCAGAATCGATCACAATCGCATGGGCGTAGTTACTCTTTGTCTTCCCTTAAATTGTGAGATTAAAATTACTTTATAATTTTCTTTCTACGAACTAATTCTTTCTCGCTGTATTATATCCTTACATGCAATCACATTTTGGATATATTACTGTCATTGAAGTAACTGCTCCCATGAATTAGGTATGGGGTATGGCAACTTAGACTGATGTATATATGTGCCTGTTTCCACGTTGTAGATTACTGACTAACTGAATCATCACTATAAACCTGTTTTAGAACTGAACAACAACCAATTACTTTACCAATAGATTTTATAGTGTGTGTTAAATAAAAACAAAAGTCCAAATGCTCTTGAACTAGAGAACGATTAGTAAGCTGGCAATAAGACGTAACTATTTTGACAATAAACAAGCACTAACAGCTAGATGTGGTCATGACCACCTTAATAACTGTCAACTGAGAATAAAGCTACTCAAAATGTACAAATGTTAAAGCTACGAATAACTGGCTCGCATTTTAATACAAATAAAAAAGTTGATAACGAAAGACTAGGTTCTGCTCCTAAAATAGTTCACGTGTTTAGATGTGAGTTTGATAAGTGTTTGAAAACTTCGTCCGTAATAGCTTAAAATGGTCATATCATTTGTAAAGCCTATAATTCAAATAAGTTGCCTAAATTTCAGCTAAATCATTTTAAGTACACACTAAATTCAGTCGCTGCTGTGAAAATTATAAATTGACGAAATAAACTATCACTCTGCAACTCATCCCTGCCCTTTAACTGCAGTGAGAAGTCCAGTTTGTATAAAAGCTTTCTTGAATCGAAGCCCCCAGAAGATTTTCCGTAAGGAAATGACATCCTTATGAACAGAATATTCAGAAAAATAAACATGATAGAATTTCATAAAAGACTGGATGAAATTAATTTGTAGTCCACTCACTCATTAATCAAAGAAAACCTGATTGTTAGGCACAGCTTTCGTTCATCGTGTCATAATGTGACATATCACTGTGTCAATATTACAATCACAAGTTCAGATGCTATTATGATAGTGTCAGTAGTTACATTTATTTTAATATATTTGATTTCAATTCGTTTTCTGCTAAAATCAGGCCTCATATAAAACTTACCTGTAGTTACAGGACTGGTATATATTTCCTTGATTCAGGTTACACATAAATGTAAAAACTTAGACGACTGAACCTGGTAAGAAGTACAAATCAGACATACGATCATTAAAGTAGGGGAATGTTAGGTCACTAAACAAGGTAATGACAAACAAATATTTGATTCTATAAACGACGTTTATATCTTTTTCTAAAAAATTAAGTATGACTCACCAAGACAAACGATAGCCTTTAATATCATACTGAAGTTTTGTTAGTCGACGACAAGGTGGCTTAAAAACGATTTTCCTCCACAAAACAGGAGATTGAAACACATTATACCACTTTTTACACACACGAGCAGCTCGTGAACGTTCATTCCAATTCAAATAAATAAAAATTTGCTCTAGGATTGAATCCGGTATATTTATCATTAATTAGGTTAAGCTTTATTTTTCCTTCAGAAAACAAATCTAAAACAGCCAACAAAATGTCCGACTTGGCCAAAACTTTTGGACAAGTAGCATTTGGGAAGAGTACCGCTGAAGTCCAATGACATTACAAAGGTGTTACGACAACTGTATGGTATCAATAAACTGGATGTAAATGAAAAGAAATTATTAACGCTTGAAATATTTAGATGAAACCTCAAAGTAAATTGTATACTCAAACATGTCACACAAATCTTTTTCATAAAAATCGAAATGAATTGAAAACAAGTACCATCATTTATACCTTACAAACTAAGTACTATGTCAAAATCACCTGTACATTGATTCATAAAATATATTTGATACATAGCTCTTATACACCTAAACTACTGAATAGCTATCTGCCCATAAAATGGAGATTTCACAAGCAGACTAAAAGCTAATAGAGAATAGTAGCCGAATTCAAGGACATAGAGAAAAGATCAATGGAAAAAATTACACGAAATATACATGACTGTAATAGCTAAACACATATCACTATACCCTAGTGGAGCAAAATACCATGTTATTCGGCCATAATCAACGTAGTCGGCATAAACGTGTACTGGACCAAAACGAACACATTAGCACAATGAAATGAAAGTAACAAGATGAATAACAAAAAAATCGAAGCAATCCAGTAGAAATTAATTATAAGAACTAATCATTGGAAATATGATTCGGGATGACAAGAGGAAAGTATAGGCATGAGATGCTGGAAAACAAAGTCCAGAGGAAGACAGAGAATCTATATACTTGAGCTATTTTGACATATTCCAAGTCATGCTATTTAGCACCTTTAATCATCGACGTCGCGCGGGCCGCAACCAGAAACTATCTGACTAATTGAGGTCTTTAGAACTTGCAAATTTGAAAATGAGCTTAAGATCACTTTTAATGTGAAAACAGTAAATCCTGTAAAAATAAGTAGCGGTTTTTACCAACCAATTTGCCACGACAGATTGCTCGGATATATTATCACTGTATGTAGACAGTTCAAAAAGATTGACAACAATTGGCTTAAATTCACTAACAGGGGTTGAAAGGCATTCATTCAGTGATTTACATATTCAATCTTTCAGACGTATTTCATTGCGACTTCTACAATAAGCCCTTTGTTTATCTGGCAAATAGTGTTATACATTGTGTTGCGCCATTTTCTTCACAGTCGGCTATAAACTGAAAGCCATGGAACAGGAAATAATGCAGTTGACTGATGTCAGAATAGGGAAAAATGTTTCCTTACAGCAACTGATAGGAGTGTCAGTGCTTTCTGTCAACCGAAAAACGATGCAAAACAGATTAGTGGTATTTAGACAGCGAAAGTTTTAAATCATACTGGTGCAGTTTTTTTCAGTCGATGTCCAGAGTGGACAAATAAACGTCAGTAGCCTTTAATTCTATCCTACAATTACCTATGGGCAATAGTAAACCTTAATCGCAAGACCACGACTCACTGACTTGTAGTCACAACTAAACGGTTTTGGACGTTACATGCATTGGTGGGTTTTTGCCCAGTTAGATACGACTACGTTTACCACGATCTACGAAACGCTAGTGAGTTATGAGTTAGAAAACTGTGTACGGGCAGTAAGTACCTGTGATGAGACTACAGTTTATGGGTGACCTGTAAAGATCACCCATAAACCGTCGATTGACCGGCGATGGTGACCTTGAATGTCCACCTAATACCTAGGACCAAATAAATGTGAAAAAACCAGCATGAGGAATGAGAATTATGATTTTCACTTGATGGTTAAGGTTCAGGATTAGATTTTGCGTTTTCATCATGAACTGATATCAGTTATAATGCAAAAAACTCTATTTAGCCAAATGGATGAGTGACTGATCTAAACTAAATGGTGGTTGAAGAAGTTAAGCACAGTTTACCAACTCGTGGCCTGGTCGATATTCAGTGATCTAACTGTCGGATGATTTAGCTACGGCTTAGTGAAATTTCACTGGCCCTGCAAGAGAAATAATTTTGACCGCGACTGTACTCGCATGTACATTGCCGACCACCAAAGAAATGCAGATTTTGAGACGAACTGCGGCGGCAACATGGCTTGATTATGGCATCACAAACAACAAAATCAATTTATTAAACCAGCTTCTACCTTGTGCCAACAGTAACGCAATAGAAGATTCTGCCGCCCACCAAAAATAAGTAAAAAGCCTCTCAAATTAAAAAAAGCGGATCATTTAAGAACTGCTGTCTCAGTTATCTTGTTGCAGGAGTGGCACGGAGTTCTTTTGTTTTTATTGGTATTGTGCAGACTTTTTCAGATTGCTTTTATCAACTAGTGGTAGTTTTTTTTATTCTCAGTTTGTTTTTGCTTGACAGTGGACTATTTCATTTTACTTCAGTCAAGCGCTTCAGGATTTCCTATATGTTTTGTCGCTACAATCCTTTTAGTCGAACTAATGCATGTTTCAAGGTGTGCTTGCCTTACACCTGTCTGCTATCCGTACAATACTGTGATTTTTAAATTTTCGAATTATTAGAAAATTAACTTACTATATACTCACCATCTTTCGCTCGCTTTTCTAGCTAGAACTCACACTGATTCCTCTTCGTCAGTCTCACGAATCGACGCATAAAATATACACACTGTAACACTTTCGTAATCCGTTTTTATTATTACATCAAATTAACGTGGTCGGTCAACGAAAATGTACAAGGATAAATGATTTACATTTTATGTTATTATCGCTCGTTTTTCGTCCATTACATCAGTTAACTGGCGTGTTCACGACACACAGTGTAGATTTCTTAAAAAATGAGACAGCACTATAACAAGACAAAATCTCTTCTGGCAGCAAATTACGTAAAAATTTTAAGATGGACACGAAATAATGCCAAACACTCATTGCTCCCTTATTTTACTGCTTTCAAATAGTCTCAGACATACATACTAGGACAAACCATCACAAAGGAGTGGGCTATAGAAACCTCCAAATAACCAACAGCCCACGATGTTGTGGCTTCGAGATTCTATACAGTCAATGAAATATTGCTGGGCAACAATCAAACCACCCATAGAGATGAAACATTTAGATTTCGAACGACAACTTGTCAAACACTGTCAAGGTCAAATATGACGGCGGATTGATTACCCGCAATCCATAGACATGACCATGCAACTGTAGTAGAAATTTGTATTCACCTAGCCCGTTTTTACTAATACATTTCATCCGTAATTTCACAGTAGCTATATGCATTCATCAGGGAATTCATCGTGTATGAAAACCAAAAAAACAAGCAGTCTCCGTAAAGTACTAACCGCTAGGAAAGATTTTGTAGGGCCAGCGAAATGTCACTAAGCCCTAGCCAAATCATCCGGCAGTCGGGTCATTGAATATGGAGCAAATCATCGATCCTCGTCAAGGTCAGAGACAACCAACGCGCATCAGTTAATGATATACCATGTACTGGTGCATGCGGCAGTGGTCTTACCTTCACTTGTATCTACTTTAAATAATATATTTCTGTAATAACGTTCTCTGTGTTGTACAGTCTTCAAAGCATCTATAGTACCTTGATACGTCAATGGGGTGGTCCACGTAAGGTGCCGACCACGAAGTGTGACTTCGAAGTTAGCTGGTTCGTCACACCATCCCCGTCTAACTCGAGTAGGTCTCCAATCATTTTCGACATAGATCATCTACGTTGATGATCTACACTAGTGAGCAAGACTTCGAATAACGCAACCTATTATCATAAATTTTATTATTGCATTCTATACTTATTCTTTCTCATTTTTATCATCGCCTATGTTAATCTATCGTTGTGAACTTTCGTTGCTTCATGTCAATGCTGATTAGTATTTAAACTTAAATACTTAGTTCAATCGAAAGAACTAATCAATCAACTATGATTGTGATCGGCTATCGTGGTTCGTTAACAAGCATTAGCAGCATGTAAATGCTCCTGTGTAATATGTATTTTAAAGTACCAACCACTAGTAAGTATAGCCACAAAGCAACACGAACGCACACCTGTTTGCAACAAGATTAACTGTCGGTTATAGATGCATCTTTCTGCTTGACCACTATCCACTAGATTTTTGCTTCCTTTGACCACGGCCTGCCTAATTTCCAATTGCTGAGTTCCATGGCCAAACAGGGGATACGAATGCTAGAAATTTACAGTGAGTTTAAACTATAAATTTTCTTCAGTCTTAGATCACGTTTAGATTGTTCATCAGGCAATGCTATGTATTTGGCTTAAATTAATTCTGGACTTATACGACTTCAGTCTACAACTCTGTGTTAATCGAAAAATTTAATCAACAGTACCTCGTACATAATCCAGATTCAAACTACTGTCTGCTTTATTACTTATAAGCAAGAGTAACCCAGGCGAGTTTCATAATTTCATTAGATTATTTCGTACTGTATTTATGATGCGTGATAACATTTCGTAGTTGCTTTCACGTAAAGTAGACATATATCCTGTCACTGCCGTCAAGTTTTAGTCGAAATCATGTACATTTATGACTCGTTAGTCGACATACTGTGGTAAAACATATTGCATGTACACGAGCACGCTTGGTCCATGTCCTAAGTACACACGTTGTCGTACTTAATATGTCACTTAACGCTAGGTAATAAGCTCTTTGTATGAGCCTTTCACGAAATGGCCACGCTACCTGAACCCTCTGAACTTTAGTTACATTGATGGTTACCATTTTAATTAATGTTTATTATACTCCTTGTATTTGCTATTATTTCACACGGTAAATCATGGCTCGATTTCCTTATTACACGACAGTCATTTTAATTCTATTTTCTGTTTATTTGTATACAATACGGGTTTGGAAAATATCTGAACGTCCTCAAAAATTCTCCACGAACCCAACCATAGTTTTCGTATATGTTTTTATTCATACATCCAACTGTTACGCTAATAAAACCTAAACGACCGTTCAGTGCAACTGTTAGTATACGTAAGAACGATGTTATTTAGATTTGACTTTATAGCACATCCGAACTATTGTAGTTATTCTACTTCGATCTTGTACTTTATTTTGTGAAGTATTGTCTTCTCATGGCTGTTATCTAACAGATGATTTCGGTATATCAACCGAGTGTTCAACTACTCGACGATTTAAAACCTGTCCAGTTCAACTGGTGGTCTGACGACATTGTCATTCGCGCGAATCATCAGTTTATGCTGTCGAGCGAATCTCCTGCAAACTGAAAACCACATTGTCGTCTCTATCCCAACAATGATAGAGTTTTTCACTGGTATCATTGACATGAGTCCAGAGCGACACTCTTAGTTTCTTATGTTCTTTTCGATATTTTTCTGTTCACTAACCGAATAAACACGCAGCACTCACCGTTTATCATCTTCTAGAGACTTCACCGTGCCACCTTTGCTGTTAATTTGCAGCTTACGACCCTTACTGGTTGTAACAGCAGTCATCGACTTTTCAAACTCTGACTAAAAGTTGGTTAATAGCTAAGCACAACGAAATCATGACCACTCTTCACGGTTATACTTCTGTACTTACTGTTAGTCTGTTAAATATAGATATAACTGGAAGCTATCAACGACACTGTCTGACATCCAACTTTAAATCAATGGCAGTATGGACATCGGCATCAATTGATAATACACTTAACCTACTATCGTTATAGCATCATTACTCTTGCGGCAAACTAAACGTTTCTCATCGGAGGAACTGAATACTTGTCAAAGCTATATATTTCAGCGCGACTTGATGGAACAATTAAACGCTTTGTTCTTTTCATTATTTCTATGGTTAATCTCTTTACGCTTAACCAACGCTGTACTAACATATTATTATTCGCTGTTTTCCCGATCAGTTTCTGCTACCTACTTTCCATTTTGTTCCACAGCTCGGCAACACCCGGAGGATTCATACTAATCGTTTGGTAATCTCCGGGCTCACCAGTGTAGATCACCAACGTAGATGATCTATGTCGAAAATGATTGGAGACCTACTCGAGTTAGACGGGGATGGTGTGACGAACCAGCTAACTTCGAAGTCACACTTCGTGGTCGGCACCTTACGTGGACCACCCCATTGACGTATCAAGGTACTATAGATGCTTTGAAGACTGTACAACACAGAGAACGTTATTACAGAAATATATTATTTAAAGTAGATACAAGTGAAGGTAAGACCACTGCCGCATGCACCAGTACATGGTATATCATTAACTGATGCGCGTTGGTTGTCTCTGACCTTGACGAGGATCGATGATTTGCTCCATATTCAATGACCCGACTGCCGGATGATTTGGCTAGGGCTTAGTGACATTTCGCTGGCCCTACAACTTCGACGCAAGCTAGTAGGTCACACTGATGTTGCTCAACTCGAGTGGACCGTTATCATCCACATACACATGTCTAAAAATAAGTGAACTAAGCTGACTAGCTGGACGTGTCCAGAGAAATCAATGTCCAATACTTGTGGAACCATTTATATCAGGGGTTTATTTAACAAGGACATCTGCTACACTTGACAAGCCATACATATAAGTTAGAAGATTTCCCTCCTGAAATATTGCTCAGTGGAAAAGATCTAGATGTCATGATCCTGTATAACACAAAGTCTTTTGCTAAATGTGGTAAACATGCCCGAAGGTAGACCTTGTTCTAACAATCTTAGGGCTTACGTTTCATAAACCCGACAAGAGAACTTTACGCCTATTTTTCGAAAACTTTATTTGGAATTTTGGAACAGCGTTTCCAATTTTGAATCAAACGGATAAGAATACCCTGGTGATATAAAATCAACTCCTGGATTCAAATCCACGTTTTGCAGAGAATGCCTCACATCACAGGAGTTTTGACCATTAATGAATTACAGCAAGATAAACATTTCCAAACATCCTCCAAAGACTCTTGAAAGCTCAGTTTCAGTGCGACTTTTGCAAAAAATATCCAGAAAATAGAGCAACAATAAATTTTACTAGACTATCGTACGTATAACACCGAAATGTGTTTGAATTTTTCCGCCAAGTGGAGCTTCTGCTGGCGGGATCCTGCTACTCGTCTAAGAATTCGGTGTAGAGCGATATAAACACAGGAGCCTCTTGAAGATCTCTTCGGTGGTCCCCACATCTTTCAACTTTCTCAGAGCATTATTAAATGTGCCAATAAAATATTCCACTTGTCCATTTGATTGAGTATGGAATGTGGGTGATTGAACATGATTGATTCCGTCCTGCCGACAAAAACTCTGAGAAGATAGCAGACGTAAACAGTGTTCCAATGTCGCTAATTATCACTTCTGAAACCCCAAAACGACTGAACACTTGACGTAGTTTTTTGACTCTGCAGCTTGCAGTTGGATATCCCATGAAAAACATTTCTGACCATTTGCTGTGTGAATCAACTACCAGGAGGTAGGTTAGTCCATGAAGTGAGTTAGCGAAGTTCACATGCATACGCTGCCACGGTGACTGTATTATTTGTAGTAGCTTATCTGGAACGATGACGCATCCACCAAACAAAAGGCAGTCGTCGATGTTCGAGAGAGCTCAACGGAGACGATATACTGACATTCTGCTGAACACTGCCATGGTTTATCTTTTGATAGCAGTTCATTCAGGGGACATCTCACTCGATGCATTTCAGGCAGAAATGTGCTGTAATGACCAATTAGTCCCAAGAAGGATCCTAATGAATGGACATTCGTCGGTCCAGGCGTCTTCTGAAGGGCTCCGATATTGGCAGAGTCTGGTTGGCGACCGCTCTTATCTAAGATGAAACGAAGGTATTTGATCAAGTGGATGAAGGAAATACACATTTATTCACATAGTTGGAAACTATATTCCAATACTCGGTTAAGAACGTGTTATAGTCGACCAGAAAGTTCACTGTCCGTCGAACCCACAACTATGATATGATCTAGATAAGCTGCTGTACCAGGTACACCTGTTAGCATCGTATACAGTATTCACTGAAAGATAACAGATGCAGACTTGATGCCAAATGGTGGATGGATGTAATGAAATAACCATCGATGAGGTTTAATGGTCAGCTCTCTAGTATCTTCACTTGCAGATAGTCAGCGGAGAAATCTATTTTCGCAAAATATGCTCCACCATTAAGCTCGGCAAA